GATACTAATGTATTACATAATATCTGGAAAATAAAAACTTTGAATATTAGAGGAATCAATTTAGAAATAAATAGTATAGCAATTCTAGAATATGGGTAGGAACAGCAAATAGATATATCAAAAATTATAGAAACCTGATTTCTAGGAAATCACAAATGGTATAATGAAGATAAAAATATCAAATTTGGTCAACAAAACCAATACAACAGTTCTACAGAGCAGGGTGAGTATTTTAATAAAGAAAAAATGAAGAACACATATTTTTAAGTTTGAGAAATGCATCAATTAGGAAATTTCAATAGACATGGTATTCAGAGAATGAATTCAATATAGAATATTAATAATTTACAACTTATTAGATGAGCCAATAAGCAAAATAGGAAAAAACTTTTACAATAGTGCAAAGCAAAGATCAATGAAGCAAAAAGCAACAATATACTCATTATAGTAATAGAGGATCTCAATGAAATAGCTGATTATCAAAAGAATTATATATTAGAGAAAGGCAGAGGAAGCAAGCCCAAGTATTTAATTGATTAACTAGTAATGTTCAATTTAGTGAATGCATTCAGACAGATCTATATAATCAAAAAAGTTATACATATAATAGATAAAATTAAATTATAGGAGCAGACTTGATTATATATGGGTCTTCAATCTATTACAATTATACTTTTTTAATATAATATATATAGACATGAAGACTATAATCAGAACTGATTACAAAATGGGAATTACACACCTCAATACACTACACACCTTATTGAACAAGTTATCAAATAGAAATAATAATAACAGAACAATATAGATGATACTAACTCTAGCTCTGAACAATGGATGAAGTTTACAAGGGAAATTGAGAATAAATTAATAGATTTTCTTAAGAACAACTCCAAAATGGTATAAGAAATATAGAATATCTCAAAGAATCAATTAAATCAATAGCAGAAACCTACTTAAAGAAGAAATAGAGGAAAAATAACATTGAAACTATATGTAAATTCAAATATAAGAAATTCATGCAGAAATTACTCAAGATCAATAACCTACATAGAAAGTACTTGGCATAATTAATGAACCCAGATTCACACACACCCACTTTAGAAGTATTGATCATAAATTTGGTACAAGAAATTAATATATCAAAGATTCTCCTGATAGAACCACTCTTTTTTTGACAAGACTTGACAAATAATAAAGAAAAATTTCACAGATGACTATCTGAGATAAAGGAGATATGAAAAATAGAGAACAAGATAGCCAAAGTTATAATTGAGAAAGAAAAAGAAAGAACAATTCAGAAGTATATCGAACAAAGATATAGAAATCTAGAGGAATATATAAAAAAAATAATCAACAACATTTTGAATCAATAATTCAGATTAATAGATATACAGAGTTTGATAGAATAGATAACAGAAAATAAGGTGAAGATAATTACAGATTCACTTAGTATCCTAGGATTATCAGGAATTCTATATATCTTGCTCACAAACTTGGAAAAGAAAAAAATTCTGAGCACAGAAATGGTTACAAATGATTGGAAAAAAATATATATACCCAATATAAAACCAAAGGACTGAATAGAAAATATCAATATTATCTATCCTATCACACTTTTAGAAATAACAAGAAAAGTATTTATGAGCATTTTGTCATTAAGGCTAGCAGAAGTTTGCACCAAATACAAGATATTGTATATCAAAAATTGGATGGGACTACCTGAAGGAAGCATACAGGAGTCAATCCACATTCTCAAAAATGTCAAGGAGAAAGTTAAAGAATTCAATAAAGAGGCTTGAATCTTTAGTCAAAACATAAGCTAGGTATATACAGTAATTCAATGAATAGGTACATGTTAGTTTAGGCATTCAGAAAAATCTTAATTTCAGAAAAGATAGTTGAGATACTTAATAACATAATGGAAAACAGAATAATATAATAATCACAGTGCATGGTCTACCTTAAAAATATCCAGTATTAGATGAAATAGATCAAGAAAATACCATCCCCCTCTTCCTCTGGAGAGTATATTATAATCTGCTATTATAAGAAATCAAAGACTAACATATGGACTATACAATAGAAACAGAAGTTTTTTTAGATCTGACTTTATCAAGCTAGCAAGAAATCATCAACAAGACAATAAGGCAAGCAAACATTACAGTTACAGCATATATAGATAACACCACCTGGTTTGCAAGCAGTAGATTAGTTATGCAAGATATTTTAAACAAAGCTTCTAAGTTTCTTAAGATAAACAATATATAGGTGAACAGTGAAAAATTATCATTGATCTGTATCAATGTGATCCAAAAACAAAGAAAAGAAAGTATACTGCTCAATGAAATGCAGATTCTGTCTGTGCAACAAAACCAAGCAATAAGAATCCTAGGAGTATGAGTGACTGAAGATGGAAAAAACCCCAGCAAAAGAACATAATAAAAGAAAAGGTAGACTTCATTACTAGAATACTAGCCCGGAAAAAATCACGAACAAACAGACATGATATGAAAATAGAAAAGCTTGAACCGGTTGAGAAATTTGCATATAATATTGACGAATACAAGAATTCAGAAAAATATAATTCCAAAAAACTCAAGTCCTCAATGGCCTTTCACAATATTAATATGTGGCCGAACTAATTCAGGGAAAACTACGGAAGTTATTAATCTTTTGCTTTGAAATAAACTCTATCGAATGTTTAATGGTAAAAAAGGAGGTGCTAGAGATATTAAGCGTGATGATGTTATACTTATTGGTCACCATCTCAAGGAACCCAAATATAGGTATCTTAAATCGGCATTTCAGATAATTGCAAATAGTCCAGAGCCACATCGTGAGAATATTACATTTCAGGCTATAAAGCCTGATAAAATTCTAAAACTAGATTCATTCTCTCCGGAAAGAGGCACAGTTTCTATATTTGAGGGTGTATGCACCGAATCAAAGAAAATCCAAGAAAAGATCATACCTTACTTTACTGAGGGGTGCCATTCTAATGTTTCTTCAATATATGTCTCACAAAGCTATTTTGACTGTCCAAAACTGATAAGAAAAAACTTAAAATATGTTGTACTTTTTAATGGCTCTTGTACCTCAGATGAGTTAAGCAGAATACTTCATTTATATGTTAATAACTGGCGCAGTGTATATAAGATTGTTAATAAGCATCTATGTGAACAAAAATTTATCGTCTTTGATTTAAGTGTACCTCCAGAGTACCCACATAGAATACGTGTCAGTTGGGTTAAAATTTTGATATTAGATGAATAAACCAATGTTTGACAATCAAATAATTATTTTTTATGTTATTTATTGACACATTAATACAATACATCCTATTTGTCACTGAACTACGTATGTGTTCATCTGCACGTATCCAGCCTGTGTTGAAATTAAAGTGGATGTGTAGTCTCGAAGAGCCATTTCTCTGAAAAAATAATACCAAGCCTGATCTATTATTTATACTAGAGATTTTTGCGTTCCATAAAACAGGTTAATATAGAAAAATCAAGAAAAATAGCTATTAATCATTATGAAACAGCAATAAATAATAGTCTAAAGTACCAGCCCTCAGGAATACTTTAGGTGATTTATTTTAAATAGATATATATGTATATACGAATAAGTTATATAATAAGTAGATATGCGTATTATACCTCGTCAACTTGCGCATTTCTTCTCGGACTGCTCATAGTAATTGATAATGTAATACTAATTCTGAAGTGCAGAGACCATCTGGTTTATATACATATTCAAGCCATTAATATTTATAGCTCTGATTTTTATACCAATTTCTCTTGCACGTTTAACTCTTTTAATGGCATTCTGCATCCATAATTCATAATTGTGTAATGCATATTTGTTATCATAATTATATCCTAAATTAGGTTTTTGCTTAATTTTCATATATTCTTCATAAATTATATCACAAAAGGTATTTCCTGTACAATAGGAAGCCCAATGTTTCTCCATTCCTATATGGTTATAATTCCCCATATTCTTCGTTCTTTGACCAGTATATACTAATTGATCGCAAGAGAAACATATTGCTATTCCGATTTCAGGAGTATATGAAGTACCATTTGGAAATAGTATTAATTTCCTAGCTTCAAGATACTTTTTACTCTGATTCGGTAAAAGATCATTTTCTCTAAAATATGTAAGATGTTCCCAAATCTGTTTCATCCACTCACTAGGAGTTTCATGACTCTTCGAGTCTGGGCTCTGCCCATTATCATGAATTTGTGGCAACTTTACATATTCATCCCATTCTTCATCCGAAGATTTAGAACCATGATGAGCTACTAAACTGCTAAAATTGATCATTTTATGACTTATTTATTAATTATATGAGATTATGAGATTATGCGATTATATCGGATTTAAGAATTTGAACCTATTTGATTTAATAACTATATACTCTAGAATAATATGTTTCAATTTTAGTGCATATTTGATTCTTGAAGCATCTCTATAAAAGTGTCATATTCGTCATATTTTATGAATGATATTTGTAATGAAAATCTGAGAGATTCATAAATAGATATTAAGGAATAATTATATGAAATAGATATAACAAATCATTTCAAATACGAATGATAACATATACATAATCATTATACTTATGGAGTAATTGATATACTGTATTTACAAACGAAATTTATAATATCCTTGATATATTTACATAGGAAAATCGACACATTTCTGCTATATAAACTATATACTATATAACAATGCGATTCAATTTTAGTACAGATCGAGGATTCATCCAATTGGACTGTAGGATACATTATAACCCACTGTAAAGTAATGTGATTCATTTTTGTGCAGATCGGGCTCTGTATGAGTATTAATGAGAATACATATCATAATTTAAGAGATCGAAATATAAGGAATTAAACGTCTTTATATATGCAGAGTCAATCTCTGAAAGTAAGCAGATCGGAATTAAGGTAACGATTTTGGCGATACATAACATGCGATTATCTCATGTATTACGTTTCATACCCGATATATATGGGTGTTAAATCTTCATCAGGTAGATTTATCCATTCTCGTAAATCACCAGTGTCATCAACTGAAGGAATAAAAGAACGAATTTTTTTCTGAATCTTTTCTTGTTCGATGAATTCATTTCTTATAACCGCAAAAAAAAATTAAAAATTTTTGAATAACACGTGATGACTTCAAAAGAAAAAGGAATTATACATGAAGCTAATTCTAAGGCCAAATACTTTTTTTTTTTAACAAGTGATACAGAAAATAAAGTTAATCGGTCCCCAATTGCTTGAATGCTATAAGATTTGAATTTCTTTGCATCATCGATTGGGCAATCGAAATTGTTCGCCAGTATCCTACACAAGTTGCAAACGGCCATCATGAGTAATTTTTTGGCATCTCCGACTGTATGTTTCTTTTCAGGTTTGTAAGGTGGCCCGGACACCTCAACATGTAAAATTTCCATGGCATCTGATAATCTCAGAACCAGTAGATCGGTTTTACGGGCCCTCACGTTAATCGCGAACATATCGCTCGCATCCTTTAATGTTTTAACATCCTTTTCGATCCACTCGTACTTCACCTCGGGGAATGCATTCCTGAAGGCTCGGAGTATGGGTGAAAGGCATTCAACAATATATGATCTTTCGGACATATCCCGAACCAGAACCTTGGGTGGATAGATACTTGAACATTGCAACAAAGTCTAGTAAGGTGTGCCTTATGAAAAAAATAAATCTCGATTCTTCGCTTGTTTCACTATCTCCAGCTTCTGTCTCTAATTATTTTTGAGTTAATTTCCGGATAATCTGCTAGGAAAATTGCGGAAATTTTTTCGTTTATTGGCCATCTTGAGAGAAGTTTTTCGATTTTTTCATATAAAGGACTTTCTGTTGTTTCCTTAACAAGATGTATCGTTGTGTTGAAGGCGCAAATTATATGCGTTGAAATCTGATTATATGTTGCTTTCGTTATAATTGGATTGTGTGTTGATATAGCTGGAGGATTTGCATTCCGGGTTGTCCAGTTTGTGGGACGGAACATCCATTCACGTTCGTGTGCTTGATACTTGATGATTTTCGAAAATAATGAGAATGTATGATTTTTTATTGCGGGAAAAGTAAGAATAATTACATGATATGGATCCGAAATATCTGAATCGGAATTTTCAGCATAATTAATTTCTTTTCGTTCTCAAAGACTATACCTTCTCGTATGTTCTTGCTAAAGAGGTCATAAAAAAAAAAAGTTAGAAAGGCATTTTCGGATGTATGTAGTTACTATGCATAAAAGACAGCAATGTCAAAATACGTCTGTGATCTCTTCGCCATTTGATTTCATAGCTCTCTCTTCCAAATTAGGCTCGGCAGGTGATTTTTCACCAGTCTCAGTCGTAGAACATTCTTTTTTATAAAAGAAATCGTAAAAGATAATGTATTCACGGTTAGAAAATACATATTTCAACTGTATGACTAGGCTCTAAAATATCGTCATCAGTATTTTTACCTTGAGAAATATATTTGTGGGTAAATTTGATTTTAAAGGAAGTCAGAAAATTAAACGATATTCTTGTTCATAAATTTAAATTACATGCTAACCTTATTCGGAGGAGTTGATGGTAATTCTTCATTTTCGCAAGTTCGCTTGCGTCCAATTACTGATCCAGGCGTTGAGTTATCGATCTGATTTCCTGATAATTTCTGTGAATATCATTAGCATAGTAAAAAAAGATTTAATCGCCAACAATATTTCATACCAACGTATTATTAATATTTCCAACACTATAATTAATATTTCCAATTGCAGTTTTAAGGGCCTCTGCGGAGGTGCTTATCAACGAGCTAGTACCCTCAACCTGTAATCAATAAAATGAAATACAGTTAATATAAATCCCAACTTTATAAAATATACAAGAAAAACTACAACCTCTACATTTTGTAGCTGACTCTGCAGCTCAATATTCAGTTCGATTCTTTTCCAAAAAACATCGACATCACAAAGAATTTTGCGATGGCCCTCAAAAATAATAATAAATAATGTTGATAAGATAAAAGTATAACCTGACTAGTCCACACAGAACTAGTGTACTAAGTACAACGGACATTCCATCCATAAAGTTTACAACATTCCATTGTTTCACCGTAGTTGTAAAGAGTTCCATTTCTCATAGCAGACATTCCATCCATAAGATAGACAACATTCCATTGTCTTCGTAGCTATGAGAGGCCCCTCTGCTGACCAGCTATGCAATGAATAATAATATGAAAATCAAACAAATACCTTAATAATATTTTTCATTTGGATTGAAACTTCCTTCATTTCCTTTGAGCCATCTTTCGCGATAAGATCTTGTAACGCCAATCACTTTTGGCAAAAAAAAATTTCATGATTCGTGATCGGCAAGGAAAAAATATTTTTATTTGATACAATATAAATACATGTGAAGCGGGAAATCTATCTGCCAGCAATTTCTTGGTAATTTTTTCTTGCACGCGTCGCTTCTTGGATTCGGGTTCATCACAAGCGGAAATCCTATCTATCAATAATCCCACAATTATACCGATTACCTGTTTTAGATCATCCCTTAAATTTTCATGATTTCCCTTAAGTAGCTTTTTCGTAAGATTTATTTGGTATTCGCTATTACTTGTACAGAAAATCCCATCAGAAGTAAACATAATGAAATGCCAATCCATGGCTGTGGAGACGATTCCATATAAATAGACGTATTCACCATCCTTGAACGCCTCATCTGCCTTTCGCTTCTTCTTATTCGTGTGAACGAGCTTTCTCAAGTTGTTTGATGTTCTGTAGGTATCCTATCTTGACATTTCGTGGCTTTCCCTCGGTAATACAAAAAAGATCATCCATTCCTGTTATTGCGTAATCCACTCGACCAGATGCTTATTCACCCGAAATATCCCTCTGCAGTTCCATATAAATTTCTTTACTTGTCTGCCTTCGTGCGATTGCGATTGATGCATGTAAAATCGATGAAATAAACTCACAGCGGGTTGCCTCGTTAACATCTATCATTGATTTTACATTCGTTAACCGCAGTATTATTTAGTTCATGCATTGTTCAAGGGCTTTATCATTGATTTTCTCGGGTACTACACAATGAGAAAAAAATAAATTATTACACGATTGAAATTTTAGCGAACAAATCACTAAAAAAGTTCGCCAAAAAAAATGCCAAGAAATTTCGCTGACGGCCCGGAAGGCAAATGCCAAGAAAAAATATCACATACCCGGATTGAATTGTTTGATGCTTGTTATATCTTCTCCATTTACTTTATATTTGCGGGGAAAGTCCTTCAACTCTTCCAGAGTTTTGTACGACGAGAAACTTCTTAATTTTTGCACTGATATTCTTCGATAAACTTCATGAGTGTAGTTACGATGCCTCCCTTTTGACCATAACTACGGAACTCCTCTTTCGTTGTTTCAAGAAAGGCATATCCCGATATCTCTTCTCTACGCAGAATGTCGAAATGGGTTTCCTTAAGTTTTAGATCTCGCCTCTGTAAATAATCAATAAGTTCCTCTGTATCAAAATCCTTAATAACGTCTGCCATCGTGCGAGTTGACCTTTCTTCAGTCAAAGTAGAGGATGTAGAAATGGGTGAGGAAGGTGTTGAATCGTGCGAAGACATTGTTTTTTTATAATGGTATGTGACGTAAAAAATATGGTTTATGCGATGCGTTTATGTGCGTTTATGTATCTAGACTAGTAAAGATAGATAATGCAAGTAAGAAATGAAAAAAAATTTTTTATAAATGAATCAGTGACTATTTATAGTATTTGATTACGCAACATATACAGTAGAATGGCAAGTACACGACGATCTCGGAGATTGCGGAGATTTCGACTTCCCAAGACATAAGTCCTTTGACATACGCAGTAATAGAGATTGTCGGTCCGTTTCTCCTTACTGCCTTTTCGAGATCCGTTTATGCTGGTTTTTATCGTGAAGCGTGTATAATGATAAATGTTCCCATCCAATAATGTATAGCGAAAATATAGGGATTATCTATGTTACACGGTTACTTCAACTTCTATGCTGATCTCTGATTCGTCGATTAATATGTTCATACTATAGTCATTATGCGTCTGCCAACGGCGCGAAAACACGAATTAGATTCAAAAGAACTATAAGAGGAATGGACTTATCATTCTTTATTAATAGTTATATCAAAAATCATACGTTTTAGTAATTCAGAATTCCCAGATCGCCAAGATCGTTATCTTTTTTACTTCGCAGAGAGATCGTCGAAATTAAGGGTTTATTCTAACCTAAGAAAATGACGAAAATATATTTGGTTTTGGGATAGATCTAATGGACCTGGATGGTATGAAATACTTCGTTTTTTTTTTCCTCCTGTAAGTTGGTCGCCAATAACGTTTCTACCACTAATTCAAAGAAGTATACCCTATTTTGTATACAGTGATTTATTAAGATCATAAAACACATTTTACTTACCGTTGTTTTATATTTAGGGCGTAAAAATGAATAGTTCAAACGGTACCACCTCCAATATCAATTATTCTAGCAGCTTATCGTTTTCCGCATCAAGAATCAGACAACGAAGCAATCCAAGACGATTTTTATCTTGTAAGTGATGAAACATTTAATTTTTACGATTTCGAACATAATCTTGTTATAGACATTGTCACACTGTGGCTAATAAAACTATGTTTTTAATAAAAAATAGATCGATGGACCTGGGGAAGAATGTCAAAATATAATTTCGAACATGATAAGAGGAATGATGATAATGATTGGTTGAATCCTGGTCAACGGGAGGAAATGTTAGGTCAAGCATATAATTGATTGAAACATATCTGTATGCCGTTTGGCAACTTTTTTTCAAATAATAAAGAAGGGTAGTGGATGCCCAATTTTCTGTGTTTTAAAACAATGCTTTCTCGAAATTATTTAAACCGATTTTTTATATATTTCCAAGTTAATCAATATACAAATGTTTAGGAGATTAAGAAC